CCTGAAAATCCTGAGCTAAAAAGATGATTAGTATGTTCATTTTTCATCTAACGGTTTTAGCTTTCATTGTATTATAAATTATTATAATTTTATACTCTGCTTTATTAATATAATAAATTATTAAAATTCTATGATTAAAAGAAAAAAATTGCAAATGAAAAAGAAATTTATAAAAAGACACGTTCAATTAACTCTAGATTAGGTATAAGTGGATGTAATTGTCGGCAATTCCTTCATCAAAGTATATTTACTAATTGATAAAAATTTATGAAAAGTATTAAAAATTTATTACTTTGATTTGGAAATTTACCTTTCGCGGGTGTCTTCTTGCATTTAATACTTAATACATTTTCATTTGGTGATAATTGAACTTTAATATCATTTTATTTAAAATTATAATGATATTTAAATCATATTGCATTATAATTAAAGATAATTAAAATAACTATGATTTTTATTGCAATGAAGTTCGATTCACATAATTTCAATATTAGATTCTCATTTGACTTAAGTATTAAAATTTTTGATGTAAAAATTTAGATCAGAAAACGCGATATACAAGAAGACCTATCTTGAGCTGATGAATACATAAAAAATGAATATTACTATTCACGAGTACAATATATGTAAGCTCGCGATCATTATGCTCGTCAAAAAATTTATGTAATACAACCAGTCACTCGTGTCGCTTCGGATCTTTCATCCTACAACATGATTGAATGACCAGAGGTACAAAAATGCATGCGACTCACGATTAGATGCAAAAAATGTTGTCATCAATATTTAAGGATAGCCATCGTGAAGTTTGTTGTCAAGTAGAAATGACCAAATGCCAGGAGAAAATCTGAGAAAATATTATTATAATGTATAAAAAATTCTTTCTTAAAGACAGTTAAAGTTAGAAAATTAAATAAACAATATGCAAACATACTTACATTCATGATCTTTAAAGCATCATTCGATTCTTTACAGCAGAGAGTGCATGTCGAAAATGAATGTCTTGAAGAACCTTTAACAAATGATTACATGACGTCACATAGTGTCCCTTTCGTGCAACTACAAATATCTATTCTTTCAATATTATGTACATGGCATACATTTGCACAAGAGAAAACCAACAATTCAAAGTAAATAACGTTAATTATATTAAAATTACACCGTAACAGGACTTAAATGTGAAATTATTTGGTAATTACCACAATTTTATTGACTGTAACTGAGATATCGTTGTTTACGGCATCCATCTTGCACACTGCAAACGCTTGCTTCGACGTTACCCACATCATCAATCAACACCTTACACAAAAGAAAATCAATAATTTAAAGTAATTAATATCAATTATATCAAAATCAGGCATAAATCAAACCTAAATTTTAATTTAATCACTTCAATTTTATAATACTTACGAACAATATTCAATCACTTGACACGGCGTTACGTCACGACACTAGAATGACAATTCGCGCCAAAAGTTCGTTAAACTGGATGGTAGTGGGGGATCTTTAACGAATAGGATTTGGGTGATTTCTCAATGAGAAACCCCAATTAATATTTGTGCTAATCAATTAATTAAAATAAAGAATTTTAATTATCCCTTGTATAAATATTAGTATATAATATTGTAAGAATCTCTAATGATGAATATATACGTGTATATTGATTTTACAGTCATATAAAAAACACAGGATTATTTTAGTATTTCGAATCGAAACATGAGAATTCACTTTATTATTAAATAAAGTTTGAAAATAAGATTTAAATTTGCTTAAAAATAACTAAATATTCTAAAATGCATTAATTCGTATCAAAATCTGAAATACCTTGTTAAATCAATTCTTCTATTTAATAAACTATAATTATTAGAGAAAAGAGATTTTTAATTTTTCACAAAGTTGAGCATAAAAAAAGACCCATATCCCATGGTGCTTCGGTAATATCTAACATCCTATGATATCCGACGTAATACTACGTAATACTAATAGTTTACTTATTAGATAATGATGCTTGCAGTCCAGTTTATATAAGCAAAAGGCCCCTAAGGGATTTAACACAGTCTAGATTAGACTGTATGCTTAATATCGTTTTCCAAATATTGATATTTGTATTTCCAAATAATAATACTTGGAGATATAATATTTGGCAAACACTATCAATTACTGGGACCCATTACGAACAAGAGGCTATACAAATATTCTATTACATGGTATAAATTAATACTATTTATCGATAAAATCCTATGCAGTACTGAAATTTAATTGTTATAATTTATTGCAAAGAATTAATTAGATTATGTAAGAAATACATAAATATTTTTAAGTGTTGAATAAAATTTATGAGAGAATAAAATTGTCTTTCAAATCTCTCAATTGAATTAATGAAAGATATTAATTATCATAATTCATTGTATGACGCACGATTGTAATAGAGATCATGGCAATCAAACATGCAGTTCATCACCAAAGATTCTAAACTATGCGACTCACCGATCATAGAATACATGATTGGACGATAAGATCCGATTGCCCTCGATTTCGCTGCATTTCCTTCCTCTCTTACATCCGTGAACCCTACTTGATTTCTCTGCTTTGAGCAGAATATGAGAAATTAAATTCTACACAGAGACATTTAATGAACTCACTTTGTACTGATATTAAATTTATTTAATGTAATGTACGATATCAATATTTATTTGGTTTAAAATTCAAAAGTACAGTTAATCAGGAATAGACTACTATTGAAGAAATTTTGAAGTTTTATTTAATTTTAAATGGTATAAAAGAAATGTATTATTAAATGATATAAAAGAAATTCGATTGTTTATAATATTTTGTAAGACATAGAAAAGATTTTTAATTTGTACACACTTTTAATTTATTAATAATTTTCTACAGTAATTATATTATAGTAACGAATATCATAGAAGTAAATTAATAATTTAATTGTTACAAATAAATTATTAAATAATAAACAATAAGGAGCATTAAAGATTTCTTGAAACTTTCGAACTTCCCTCCATACAAAATTTCAATTTCTCGCGCGTATTAATTAGCAAGAAGGACCAACTGCTTCAACCAATCAGGAGGCAGCTAGGTGAGATTTTGGCGGGATAAGCGTCAGTACAGTGCCTGGAAGTGTCGCGTTAGGTTGACAGTGTTCGAAAAATGTCGTGTCAACTGCTTAATTACCAGTTTCTTCGCATTTTGTAAGTTATTATTATGTTCATTTCTCTAATATACGTTCATTTAATCATTTGTTAAATATTATTATATTAAAATTGCATAATATACCGAACTTTATTATTCGCCTGTCAATGATCTCTCACTTGAGTGTTCGATCGTCATCAATATCTTATATTCCAATCTCCTAAAGCAAAATTTGAGCTTGATTATTGCCTCATTGTATCATACTCGAATTTAAATTTGTACATTTATCGTTGATTTTCTATTGTCATTAATTGTTGATTGATTAATTGCGCAGATGACTTCAAGAGAACAGGAATCCGTAGACGATATGAGTTAATAATAATCTATTTCTATCGGAAAATCTTCGATTTATGATAACGAAGAGAGATGTTTGTAAGTATATTCCTATCGTTTCTTGGATAATAATCATTCAATAAATTATTGATTCACAAGTGAATAATTTGTTTGAGTATATTAAATTATATTTTTTTATAATTATATTTATTTCAAATCACTTCTTTGCATTGACCTTATTATAAAACAAAACATTGAATAATTCAACAAAACAGGCTCTTAACATTATATAAATTTTTAAATTTAATATACATTTATCGAATCTTATATTTTTTACGCGAATTTTCAATTATGGCGTCACCAACTGTTTATAATCATAATGGCGTCTAACGAACACGTTCAGACATGTTTTGTTTGAAAATTTGACATTGCTTTTGCATTATTATATCACGCTGCTCTCAGACATTCTTTATGTAAAGAACTTTCATCCTTGCTACCATTCTTGAATATATATTTGACGGACAATGCAACGCGATTTATCACAAAACATATTTCAAAATATCTGATATATTGGATTATTTTTCCAGATTATATTGCATCCAGAATACAACTACAACTACAATATAAGGAGAAGAAAAAATATAAAACTTATTTAAATATAATATTTAACTTTATTAACTAATATTTGACTTTTTCACTGGTCCTCCTCCATCTCCTTCCCAAATATCTTTATTTTTTTTATATTTGTGACTGCGCGCAATGCAGTCTGTAGAGTCAGTATTTTCTGCGTAAAGTTACTTTACATATTTTTCAGTGTACGATAGTTCTTAACAATATAATGTAATTTTAATCGGAATTCATACATGTAATTAGAGTTAGTGTTTGTCAGTAGTTTTTTATTTTTCTTTTTTTAAATATTTATAGTGATATTAGTCAGTGCTCAAGAGGATAAAGCCTCTCCAGGAATTCAAGAATGTAAGTATTTTTGTACATTGATTCTAATTTAGATATTTGAATTTTTTTCCCAAACGAAGTCTTAGATTTCTTATTGAATTACAAAACAAAAATATTCCTAAATTTTCACTTTCTAAATTTTTAACAATTATAGCTTAAAGCTTCAATCATTATAGTAATGTTATTATGACCCAGTTATTATAGTTTATCACTTTCAATTTTTATTACTATTAGAATTCCAAGTTTAATATGGCTCCATCCCATACTTTTCAAATAATTGAACAATGATTTTTAAGAAGAAATTAGAATTTAAATTATTGTAGTTAGAGTTTATTAGCGTTTCAATTTTCATTACTACTACAATTCCAAGTTTAAGATAGTTCCATTTTACACCTTCTAAACAATCAATATAGCTTTTCATGAACAAATTGTAATATTTCAAATTTTATTAAAGGTTTCACCGAATTTTCACACTCCTTGTTCTCTGGAAAGGATTCAATGAGATTTCAAAAGCCATAAGTAAGTTTGCATTTGAATTTATTTATAATATTAATTTAACTTTTGTATTTTTTTTAATCATGTTTTAATCATGTTTAACTTTTATATTTTCTTTAATCATGTTTTAATTTTATCTCTTGTATATTTAATTATTATTAATGAGAAAATAAAATAAACAATTATTAGGTTTTCAATTTTTATTATTATTTAAATTTTATCATTATTGTCTCAAATTATATAAATGATTAATACGTCTATAAGATTGATTGTAATATTTTATGCATTTTTATAGATTTTGTCTTCACTTCTTCCATGACATTTAGCAAGTTACAAATACTGAGTTTCCCCGGATTATTGCAACATTCTTCGGATCTAACCGTGAGTTACATGCATTTTTGTTCCTCCAGTCATTCAATCATGTCGTAGGATGAAAGGTCCAAAGCGACACGGGTGACTGGTTGTATTGCATAGAATTTTTGACGAGCATAGTGACTATCGGTATATATTATACCGGTAAATAGTAACATTTCCTTTTTATGTATTAGCTTAGGATAGGTCTTCTTGCATATCGCGATTTTGAAATCTATTTTAGATACATTTTAATGATATGTTAATAATATGAATATTATAACATAAATACTTGGTATACAATCTAATATTTGTAATTAGTTTACATATCTATACTGAAAAATCATATTTACTATAGTCATTCGTAAAATAATAATACAATTAATATGATTATTTGCAAAATTGAAAGCAAACATATTTATAAATAGATGAAACATGAATATTATTGAACATTAGAATGATATTATTTAAATATTTTGTAGTATCTTGTCGCCTTGTTGACTTCATCAAATCTAATTATAATTGAAATTATTACACTATTAATGAACATATCATGACAGTAACTATGAATAATTTTGTCGTTTATAATATTATGAAAAGTTCTGCATTTAATATATGAGGCTCATATTTAATATATTTTCAATAAAATTTGAAATACAAAACATATTAAAGTTTAATTTCATCCGCCAAAGTATGTATTAAATTTTATGTGCAAGAAGACACTCCGCGACGGGCAGCTTTCGCAATCAAAGCAACAAGTTTGTTTTCATCATGTGCTTTGATGAAAAGAGTGCCCGAGGATATTTTCATTAATACTTTACTTAAAATTAGAGTCCATTATTACTCATTAAATTTAATAAAGTATTTAAGTATTTGCGTTGAATCTTACTACATATTTTTACAAATATATTTATTTCTTATTATATATTTATTTCTTTAATATCAATTTCTTTAATTAAAATAAATTAATAAATTAAAATAATTGAAAAAATACAATATAAAATAAAATCAACAAATATTAGTTCGTTATAAAATAAATATACTAACCATCTTTTTAGCTCAGGATTTTCAGA